TAGAGGTGGCCTGGGCTTTCAAAAATTGAGGGAAGCAAATAAAGCACTGATGCTCAAACTGGCCTGGGGTATAGTTGTGGACGATGCAAGTTTGTGGAGTAAAGTTTTGTGAACCAAATATAATATTATTGGGTCAAAGATGCCAAGGAGTATTGAAAGGAAAAATCCCTCACACTTATGGAGACACTAAAGTATGGAAAGAAGCTTGAAGGAATGTGAGATGGTCAGTTGGTGATGGCAGGAGAATTCGTTTCTGGCTGGATACCTGGACAGCTTTGGACTGCCCTCTAATTCAACAGGCGGTATGTCCTATTCCGGACTTAGAGAAAACAAAGAAGTTGGAAGAGTTTTTGGATGATCGTGAGAACTAGCGGCAGCAACTTTTTGTTAATTTTCTATCAGATGAAACCATCAAATTTATAAGTGCTATCCCACCTCCGGAGTCTACTTTAGGTCCAGATACAATGGGTTGGAGAGTGACTAGTTCTGGAAAATGTACAACAACTTCTGCATATCAAACTTTGTACTCGAATTAGTAGAGCATTACGGAAAATAAGTAGGACCCAGTCTGGAAATGGCAAGGGCCCAAAAAGATCAAAACCTTCTTATGGCTTCTTATGCTGAAGACGTTGCTGGTGAATGTAGAGAGATGGCGTCGTCACATGGATGAGGATGGGAATTGCCACAATTGTGGTGGTTTGGAAACAATTATTCACCTATTCCGCGATTGTCCAAGGAGTAAAAGAATCTGGAATGCTATCAATCCTAGCTCAGGCACAGGTTTTTGGGAAGAGCAAGAGGTTCAGTCATGGTTAGTTTCTAACTTAACTTTCTCTTTGTTGCAAGTTAACATTCCTTGGCCAACATGGTTTGCGACTGTCTGTTGGAAGCTATGGGGTACACGAAATGAAGAGGTGTTCAAGCCAACCAATGTCAAAGGCATGGAGTTTTTAATGGTGATACGTTCATCAGTAAAGGAAATCAATTAGAAAAATGAATGATTCAGGAAAAGGATAGTAGGGGTTCCTCAAAATCTATTTTTTTTGTATCATGGAAACCTCCACCTTTTGGTACTGTCAAGCTAAATTCAGATGATGCTGTTGACCGCATCCAACAAAGTGCAACATCATAGATGTACTAAGGGATAGCAGTGGGAATTGGATTTCTGGCTTCTCGGCTAACATTGGTTTTTGCTCAGTCACAGAAGCCGAGCTGTGAGGAGTTTACTATGGTTTAAAGGTTGCTACCTCTGCTGTTTTCTCTAGTATAATTGTAGAAGTAGATCATTTGAGGTAGTAACTATGTTATTAGACACGCATGTTGTTGGACTACAACCCGACTTGTTGCATAGGATTAGAATCCTACTCCGTAGTATTCGTGACATAGAATTTAAGCATATTTTTAGATAATGCAATAGAGTAGCAGACCTTCTAGCGTAAAAAGGTCTTAAACAGTCATGTGGGTTTTCATATTTTGGCACAACCCACGAGGTACTACAAACTAGTCTTTTGTTAGGTACAGCAACAACTCCTTTTCTAAGGAGTTGACGGATGTAATCATGTTTTTTAACCTCCACATTATATATATAATTATTATAATAATAAAAAATAAATTTACTAGTATCGTGAGTACTATTTTATAATTAGATTGCGAGCGAAAACACCTCAACTGTGTGTTCTTCAAAACGATTTTGCTGATGCTGATAGCGTCTGCCAATGGCGAAGAAATCCTAGAAGCAAGCTGAGGGAGGAGGATTGGAAGCTCCTGAGCAACCAGAGGAAGAACTGAGCAATCCACGGGGAGAATTTGTTCCAAATTAGAAGGAAAAATGGTGAGGTAAGTAACCAAATTTTGCAATAAATGCTGCTCCAAATTCATGCCTGAAAAGCCCTAGATCTACAATTAATGCTAGTTCCAGTTCGAATAATATGTTTGAAAAGCTTGATAATCAGAAAATTGTAGCTGAAGGGGGTAACTCCATTTTGAATCTGGGAGAATTAGATGAGCAGAGTAAACTCAATAAGGCAGAGGAAAATGTCTGGAATCGATTGATCCTAAGATCCTTAAAGAAGCTGAGAAATCTCTGAGATATATAGAGCCTGTTGTAGTGAACAATCGAGTAATTGGTAGAATCACTACAGATGAGATTCAGACAAAAATTTGATATTGGATGTCATCAGTTCTTTGCTATATCTTGGGAGGAAATCCTTTTTTTACTGTAATGAATGGTTTCATAAGAAGAACTTGGGGAACATATAGAGTGGATAAAGTTTTATTATTGGAAAATGGAGTGGATGTGGTTAGATTCAAATCAAATGCAACTAAGGAAGATTTTCTAAAGTAGCATATCTATCATTTTGATGGTAGACCATCAATAGTGAAGAACTGGTCACTTGGAGAGGATATTAAAATGGATGAAAAATAGAAGCTTCCAATCTGGATCCAATTGCCAAAGTTGAAACTCAGATATTGGAATGCAACTACACTCAGTGGGCAGACTAAGACACTTGGAACTCCAAAAATGGATGAAGTGACCAGTCAGAAACTGAGAACTTCTTATGCAAGAGATTTCATGGAGGTTGATATTAAAGAAAAGCTTTAGGAGGTAATTTGGTTTGAGGATGAACATGGAGAACTGTAGGAACAGGCTGTCAAATATGAATGGAAGCCGGTTAAATGCAAAAAGTGTCAAGGTTTTGGGCATGAAACAAATGACTGCAGGAGACCGATACAGAAGACATGGCAAAAGAGAAATGAAGTGGTGCATCAGAAAGAGGCTGAGAAAGGGTCAGATGAGAACACTCCCATGCCAGAAAAAACCAGCAAAGGGAAAGAAGTAGCGAGCACTCAAGGAAAATCTGTTTTGAAACATACACAGACTCCAAGTAGCCTCAGAAAGAATGCAGCGGGTAGTCCACAAAGGAATGAGAAAAATGATATAAACTCTTGTGGTAGTATCAGAATACTCAATCAAAATAGAGTCAAGGTCAATGAAGCTATCTCTCTGTAAAATAATGTTGGTGTTGAAGGCATGATAGAAACTAAGCTAAATGTGGAAAAGGTGAAAGAACTAATGGAAAGGAAGTGGTGCCTCTATGACTATAAAAGTAATCATGAAGGAAACGAGAAGGGAAGGATGTTGTTGATACGGGAAAAAGGAGAATACAGTTCAGTCATTACAGGTGACTAAGCAATATATACATTGCTATGTAACGAAAATGGGGACTAGAAAGCAATAATATCTCACCGTGGTGTATGATGATTATACAGTTCAAGTTAGACAGGCGCTTTGGGGAGAATTAGTTCACAATCTATCCTGGCTCCTTGGATCATGATTGGTGATTTCAATTGCACATTATAACCAGAAGAAAGGCTTGGAGGAATGATTGAATTCAGTCTGGATACAGGGAAGTTTAAAGAAATGATAGAACTAGCAGAAATAATGGGTATGCAAACTCAAGCGAAAAATGACACAAATATGCTCCCAAATTGGTAGTGTAAGCAGGACTATGGCTAGGTTTTTGGAGCTAGAAAGAAATATGTTTCTCGCATTTGGCAAATGCGAAAAAACCAAATTCCGCGTTCAGCAAATGCGAAAATGTAGTAGATTAATTACAATGCATTAAAGACGTTGGATTAAAACTGGATAATTAAAATTAATTTAATCCTTCGCATTTGAGGTATGCGAAAATTAACTTTTCGCATATGCCATATGCGAATGTATTAAATCTGTATTTAAAAATTGTTTCCTAACTTTAAATTGGTATAAAATGAAATGTTGTAAATTAAATATTTTGGTTGATAAAATCTTGTAATATTTCAACAAAAAAATACTATTTTAATTGAAAATTAAATTTTTTAAATTTAAAGTATTCATTTTATTTAAGTAAATTTATGTTAGTTCTAAATAGAATTGCAATCCTAAAAAATATATTTGGTGAACAGAAATCGTATAATGCATTTATAATAAAATTTGAATAAGAAGTAAATTAAAATTTCGGTGAAAAATTAGAATATAATCTTGCGTTCTGTAACCAAGTTTGCTTTTAAAAAAATTGACTTTTATTTGATTTCAATTTAAAAACTTACCATCATTAAAAATATAATGTCAAAAAATCAAGTTTATTAATTTTAGGATAATAATATTTTTTACATAATAAAACTTAGAATCAATTCATTTAAAGTAAGGAAAAAAACTAAAACTTTTAGAATCTGACATAATCAGTCCTGCTAAACTTGATAAAACCACACTTCCTTCTAACAATGATCTTTTGGCGACTAGGAAACTTGAATTTGGCACGACGAAAAAGATAGTATTGTATAAAAGTAAGAGTTAAAAAAATTGTACATAATATTGTCTTTTTGAGATATTTTCTTCTTTAATGTTTGGCTTTTAATTTTTTTTTTTATCTTAAAGATTAAATAAAACCGAAATAAATTGTTAATGAAAAGAAATGAAAGGTATTGCTTAAAACTAATAACAAAAGTCATAAAATAGCATAAAATAAAAGTACAATTCAATCTAATTTTTCTACATCTTGCGCTTTTTCTCCTGAGAATCTGTCATGCAGCACTTTTTCTTCTTTTTTATGTTCCACTGTCCCTTACCCAAAGCAATCGGTGTAAAAGGCATGGTACCATCACTGGGGCCCTGTCCCTGATCAGTGCCCTCATAATGATCATGAGAGGAATGCTCAGCATCATCAGCATCATCATCATGCTCCTGATCCCCAATATCCTCATGATCTTGATCATCTTCCTGATCATGATGGATATCGTCACCACCTAGATGTCGACTATGATGACCACCCTCGTAACTAGTCTCAAAGAAACCCCAAAGCATTAGGATCTAGATTAATAAAATCTGAATCAAAATGCATTTGCTCAAAAGGAGGAGAGGGATGGTGGTGTGGCGATCTTTGGACGGTAAGAAGACACATGGGGGTAGAAGATTGCCCGCCGGTATTCAGGTGGCCACAGTTTTCTCATTCTTCCACTCCCTAACCGGAAGCCGCCTCGGTCGATCTGGGAGGCCTAGGTGGGATATACTCCTGGGTTGGGTCAGCTGGAACAAAATCTTGGCTTGGGTTCTCACTATCAGCCCAAACAGATGTCTTGCTGACAGTCATTGCCTGCTGTGTCAAATCGTGCAGCTGTAGGAAGGCATTGTGATTCCAAGAATCAGCTGGATTACGTTGTAGCCCATCTACAGTAATATGCCACATGTTTTGCACTAAATTGGCCTGAAAATTATGAAAGGAAATAAATATATATGGTAAATTAAAAATATATAATAAATATATTTTATAAATGAACATATATATGGTAAATTAAAAATAGGAAATAACATTTTAGAAAGTTATATGTATAAAAATCATATTAATATGGGTGTGATTAAAGAAATAGTAGAACTGTAACTTACCATTATATGTAGTGACTCAGCAGATCCCTGAAAACCCTGGGGCTGACGATAGTCTGATGGATTGGTGACCAAAGTGACAGTGTGATTTTGATACCACACTAGATATTCCGGTGCTGCCTGGGGTTCAAGAGTCATATCCGTCTGAAGACCTGCAAGGGTGTTGTGTCGATTCTCCCACCTCTGTAAGACGTCATCTCGACATTTCTTACCACGCGTCTCCTTATGCAACTTTTCTATTTCTTTTTTCTCCATGATGAAAGTGTTGTCAGGCACCCGCTGCAAGAAGCCGAACTGGTGCAACACCCTGCCTGGGATGTGTGGCTCTCGGATACCAAAATAAAGCAGCCAAGTCTGGGACATCCATATGGCGGAGCCAGCAGAGCAAGATGGATCAATGTCTGCTAGAATAGCAGGAGAATACGGCATCCAAACAAACTGTAGAGGGACAGATAATACAAAAAATTTATGTGAATATATAAGAAAAAAAAATAAATTGATTTATACGTTATGATGGTTCAAATAAAAAATACTTACATTATGTTCTTGCAAAACCGCAAGCTGGTCTCGATAGGCGGTTAGATTAAATCGTGTGATGTCTCCCACTTTTCTAGGACGGTTCCACCTACAAAAAATATAGTTTTGATTGAAAAAACGGAAAAAAATTATTAAAAAATATAACTAATTAAGATAATTATTGAACAGTTGACAATTAATTACCTCCTGCCCAAGGGACACCCCTGAAGATCTGGTACGGGCCCACGTAACTCCGGACGGAAAGTCAATATCCGCTCCCAAGCCCATAACTATTTTGCAGTAAAATAATACGTGAAATTAAATCTACAAATACAATAATTAAAAAACTAAAAATAAAATACAATTATAAATATTAGGATTCTAACAAAAAATTACAAATAAGGAAAATAAAAATAAATCGAAAAAAATTACAATACAATGAATAAAAAACTAACAATCAAATACAAATACATGGGCGGTTTGAAATTACCTGTAAGAGTAGTAAGCAGCCACAAATACCCTGTCCAGACAATGTGATCACTGAGGAAGTGCATAGATTTTGGTACAACCACGCCAGTGTAGCACTACCCCAACTAAACTCCCGAAATGTATTTGGGTCCTCCAAATACCCCACCAGGCCTAGGGGAAAACTGTTTCTGCTGCTATCAGGAAACAATAACCCTCCTAAAATCCATCCGACAAAACAACATGCCCGCTGAAGGTACATATCCTCTGTAGCATCTCCGGGTAGCAGATTAGTCATAATGTGTCTCTTTATATCTGTGATGTTTACTACCTTATCCTTCGTAGCCTTAGGACACTGTCGGAATCCAAACAGACTCTCTAAATAATCGGCCCACTCCACATCCTGCAGAGGTACTGTCCCCTGAACCACTACATGGCCATCAACCCGCAGACCTAGAAGGACCTCGACATCCTGTAGAGTAATCGTCGCCTCTCCGACAGGCAAGTGAAATGAATGGGTCTCAGGCCGCCATCGCTCAACTAAGGCTGTAATGAGGGCCCAATCTAACTTAATAGAACCAATTCGAAAAAGAGGCCCTAGACCAAACATTGCTATTTGGGCATGTATCTGTGGGGCAGCCTTGTCTAGTCAGGCCATAGGTCAGTATCCACTCGGTATGCGGAAAGTTCTTTCAAATAAGCCTTATTACCCCTAAATGTATGGAATGACCTATGATCATCATGAAGGACCAATAAACTCTTATCTATAGGACCCTGCTGGAGGTCATATTGTCTAGACTGCAAAGACGATGATGATCCCGTCTCCATACCCTAAATAAAAATAATACAAACAAATACAAATACACTAAATAAATATAATACAAACAAATAAAAATACACTAAATAAATATAATACAAACAAATACAAATACACTAAATAAATATAATACAAAATAATACAAACAAATACAAATACACTAGATAAATGTAATACAAACAAATACAAATACACTAAATAAAAATAATACAAAATAATACAAACAAATACAAATACACTAAATAAATATAATACAAACAAATACAAATACACTAAATAAATATAATACAAAATAATACAAACTAATACAAATACACTAAATAAATATAATACAAACAAATACAAATACACTAAATAAATATAATACAAAATAATACAAACTAATACAAATACCCTAAATAAATATAATACAAACTAAAACAAATACCCATAATACAAAATAATACAAACTAATACAAATACACTAAATGAATATAATACAAACAAATACAAATACACTAAATAAATATAATACAAAATAATAAAAACTAATACAAATTTAACCGTCGTCACACTAGTCAAAAAATAATTACCTACTTAATACAATTACTAGTGGTAAAGTAGCAAACAGGGTCGATCCCACAGAGAAGGAATACTAATTACCAGGTATAAATTACTCTTATTATTATCTAGATAAATGATGATCTCAGATTTATAAAATTTAAAACTAAAATAAATAAATAAAATAAAGGCAAATAATATTAATTCAAATAATCAGACAAAGAAAACCTAGGACATTGGGTTCACCTACCGAATATTGGGGTTAGTTCAATTCACAAATATCTGACTTTTAACTTACATTAATCTCACAACGATTCACCTAATTAAGAACTATTCACTCTCGTGTTATAATTCTCTTACTTAGATTAACCCTATGACTACTCTCGTGACTATAGGGATTAACAAAAGCACATTAAGACCATTAAGAATCAAATATTGCAAAGGTTATAATCTTACTCTCATAGTTTACAACCTAAGTTTATTATTCCTACGAACTAATACTAATCTTCCACTCTCGCTACTTCGATTAGTATCTTCGGACATGCAAATAGTGGCCAATTACTTACACGAATTAAAACAAGAATAATAAATATTAATTAATAGAAAATCAAATAATAATGAACCAAATAAACCAAATAAATCTGGTGGCTACACCCAAGCCCTAGATTAAAAGAATTTAGCCACTAAACATTATTAAAAATAATTCAATAATGTTCATAGAAAACAGCTGCTACTATTTATGGTGCGTGCAAGAGATCAGCGGGGAGGACTTGAGTTGCTTCGTGTGCTGCGTGGAGGCGTGGAAGAGATGGAGCTGGTTTTGGAGTTGGGGGATTTGATGCTGCTGCGTGGTGTTAAGGTGGAGGAGAAAGAGTGGCTGCCGGTGATGATGGGAGTGGAGAAGAGGAAGAAGGAGGAGCTGCGAAGGGTGTTTTGCAGCGGCAAGGTGAAGCTGTGTGGATGAATGAGTGGTGGAGCGGCGGTGGAATATTTTTGCAGCCGTGAGGGTTTCGGTCAAGTTCGGTCCAGTCCTGTTGTAAAAATAAATCTCTAATCCTCTTTTTATAGGCTTCTATCAAAACCCTACTTCTTGGAGAGCAAGAAAACATGTTTCCCGAATAATATCGGGATTAAAATTCTTACCCAATTCCAATCCCAAATCAACCATATAACCATAAGCTTCTCGGCCAATTTTCCAGAAACAAGAATTCTAAAATTGCTTGTTTAATCCTCCAATTTTTTAATACTTCAATTTCTTTCTTGTCAATTTATCTAATCTTCAATTCTCCCTTTGAGTTGTTTTTATCTTCATTTTGGCCCACAATTTCAACAATTCCTCCTTTTGAGTACAATTCCTACAAATAAAGATAAAATCATATAAATAGTGTATTTGTACTCAAAATATTGGCAAAATTTCACATAAAGGGATATAATAAATAGGTAAATTATGAGCACATCAAAGCTGCAATACAGCAATGGAAATGGAATGGAACTGCTAGCACAGGATATACTCCAAGCGGTGGCTATCTATGGCTAAAAGGAAACTGAAGAAAGACAGCAGAAGCAAAGATCATATGGACAATATATAGTAAGCCTAAACATTGTTTAATCAGTTGGTAGGCATGGAGGAAATTTTTACTCACTGCAGAAAGGCTGATGCATATGAATATTCAAATAACTGATCAAGAATGTATTCTATGCAAAGATCAGGATGAAACATGGGAGCATCTTTTCTTCATATGCCAATATGCAAATGAAGTAATCTGTGTAGTGAAGAGATGGCGAGGGCTAAAAATTGACGTACAATTTTTGAAAAAAAGGCAACTGCTGAAAATCTGGAGATTCAAAAGTCTTAAACAGAACCTCCTGCATGCTTGTATATCATGTGTGGATGGAAAGGAATACAAGAAAATTTTGAACTAGTAATGTTGCTGCTATTGACCGATTGAGATGATAAAAAAGGATCTAACTTGGAGGGTGGGAACTCATTGTAGAAAGGCAAGTATAGCTGATATGAAGTTTTTACAGCAGCTAGGAATCAATTTATTACCATGTAAATAGTGTGCATGATGATGTAAAATGTTTGTTGTTTTGATTGGTGGTGATGAATACAAATTACATTTTAACAAAAAAAATAATAATAAATAAATTTTTTCAGAAAAAGAAATGAAAAAGAAAAAAAGAAATTTGTTGGGTAAAATTAGTGGGTCTCAGTTAAGTAAAAAATTATTAAAAATCTAAAAACTTAGCGGAAAAAATGTTGACCCGTTAGTTGACTAAAAAATCTGTTGAATTGGTTAAAATTGGTGAAAATAACATTTTAGAGAACTAATTTTGTTGAAGAAAAATTTTTGGTGACTGGGTCTCGTTATCCCTAAACTTTTAGGAGCAAAAGTGAGTTTTGTCCATTATTAAAATTAATAGTAGTTGTGCCCCTAATCTACTGAAAAAAAAAAAAAGAAGAAAAAAACTGAACATAATCCATTACAGAAGTTGAAGTACTGAACTTTAAGGAAAATCTCTTACAAAGAAGAAAGAAATTATTCTCGATTTCGCCCATAATTCAACTGTAAATTGAGCCACCACTACCAACAGTAGTGAACATCTTATGATGAACGAAAAAAATAAAAAGTAAAATAAAATCGGTTGCGCACAATATCCTTAGTCATTGTCGTCATCTAGAACTATGTTAATATATGGATTCAGAATGACCATATGAAATTCTATATTGTGAACTAATATTGCTCGAACTTTAAACCTAGTATTTGCATGGGTATAATACTAGTTTACATAACACTCTTCTATCTCTGAAAAAAGTCCACATTACCGTTGTAAACTGTACTACTATTAAGTACAATGCACAAACTATAACATGGAGTATAGACTAGATTATTCGGTATGACATAAGGAATTATTTATTTATATTTCAATTGCAATTGTTTAAAGCAAGAAGAGTAAAAAAATGAGAAATAGTCCGCATTTTAATGTTTTTCTGCCTTTCAAGGTTGAAAAGTTTTGGGCCATTTTATTTCATGTTATTGAATCACTTAATTAACGGAGCTAATTAGGCACGACTTTGAGATATAAAATGTAGCAAAAAGACTCATTGAATAACGATGTAAGTTAAAGGAAGAGAATTACAATAAAGGTGTGGATCAAGCTTTGGAAAAGCGTATCTAGGATACATGACAGAATAACCATAACCACAATAATAGCAAATCACAAATTAATTGAAGCTCGAGAAGTGCATAAATTCTAACTTCATTTATTCTCTATTGAATTGGACATCTTCAATCTACATTAATGGAATGTGTCCGCAAATACTTCAGCTTTAACCTTCCAATGCATTATATATGTATAATGAAGTAAATTGACGGAATGCTTAGGTGTATTGTGGTGGTGGAGACTTATAATGGTGGTAATAGGGTGGTGGAGGAGATGGCGATGGAGGCGGGCGAGACTTGTAGAGATACGGTGGAGGCGGGGACGGAGATGGTGGTGGAGGGGATTTGTACCCGTGAAGGCGGAGTAGAAGCCGGAGGAGTTTCCGGTGGAGGTGATTTGCAATGATGATGAGGAGTGATAGGAGATGGTGCCGAAGTTGGTGGCGGATACGCGGAAACCGGTGGAGGAAGTGGTGAAGCAGATGGAGATGGTTGAGGAGTTTTGTTGTAGGAATATGGAGATGGTGGTAATGAGGGAGATGTTGATGTGGGTGGCGGTGATTTGTCTCCGTAAGAAGACGGAGATGGTGCCGGAGCATGTTTCGCCGGTGGTGGTGGTGGAGATTTGTACACATGAGGTGGAGGTGATGATTTGTAAGCATGAGGTGGAGATTTGTGCTTGTAATGTGGAGGCGGCGGTGAAGGTGATGGCGAAGGAGGTGGTGGATACTTGTGGACATATAGTGGCGGAGGCGAAGATTCGTGGGGAGGTGGTGGTGGAGGAGATGATGGCAGCGGCGGCGGCGGCGATTTAGGTGGAGGCTTGGAGTAACCGGAGTTCAGCGGCGGATGTGGGGATGTATAAGCATGAGGATCTTAATTGGCTGCCACATTTGCAGCCATCAGACATAATGCCCATGCAACTACAAGAAGAAAATTTGGCCTTAAAATGGCCATCTTGTGTGTTCGTGTAAATAAATGATTGTGTAGTGCGATTTGTAATGAAATGCTTCAGCCCCTATATAGTGATCACCCAAGTCTTAAGGGCAATTTTTTTAACTTATCTTCAAAACCTTAATGGGGATTGGCGGTCATTGAATCGCAGTCAAAGTTTACATCTATGATATTATTGTAAGAGATTGTGAATTAAATTTAACGAAATCGTTTGTTATCAATGACTCTGAATGATTTAATGTTTAATACTCCCTCATTCCAATAAAAATAATCCTGTTTAATAAAAAATTTTGTCTCAAAAAAATAGTCCAATTTCATAAAAGTCAAAATTAATTGAATTGAAATGACTTAAATATCCAAAAGAGTACTGATAAGGTAAACAAGGTCCATTTCCTTTGATTTTCATTTTTTTAGTTTACTCTCATTTTTTCAAATAATAATATCATTTAATAAATGAATAATTAAAAAATGTATTATATATCAAATTAATCTACGTAACGAGATCTTTCTATCAAAATCCATTGTCAATATTTTTCGAGATAAAAATTTTGATCAAATTTAAGTTGTAAAATAAATGCATATATATGTAATTAACTTTTATAGAAATAATTAGAAGGGGCATTAGTAGAAGTTAGTGGCATAAAATGAGTTGTAAATTTGGTGTGTTGACCAAATCAAAAAAGTTGTACATTTTCATACTGGACTATTTTTCTGGGACGGAGGGAGTAATAAGGTTCTGGAACGAGTTTTTGGAATTCGAGATATCGAATATCATTTAGAATGGAATGAATTTTATAAGTGTAGTATTCTTATTCTTTGTATTATGGGAAATGGCTAAGGATCTCCTACCCACTTTCTTACTCCACTCCCTACAACAGTTCACCAATGAGTGACAAGTCTCATTTTAATTAATGCTTCTTTTGTTACCTATTAATAAATTAGTTAACATTGCTTAGTTTCATTTTAATCCTTAGTAACGCAGGTTAACAAGTTTTACAATGTATCTGACGAGTCATAAAATAAACCCTAACCCTAATGGGTTTGGGTCGGCTACCTTGGAGGCTAAGTCACCACCTAAACCTATTAAGACTAGGTTTCAGAAAACAGGTAACACCACCTCTATATAAAGAGGTGGTGTCTCTCCCATTATTCATATCTTCGACCTATCTTATACACCTCCTACACACGATACACACAACTCTCCCTATTCTTTATTCCCTTATTGACTTAAGAATTGGAGAGTCTATCCTCGGGAGACACCCGGGGCTTTGCCTTGTAGGTTTTAGGCCGTCCGTCGCCGCCTAGATCATCATTGCCGCCCATCCTAAGGCACCATGTAAATCCATGCTTCGTCAAGTGGCACGCCCAGTGAGACCGATTTGTTTGGTCTTCACAACCAAATAAATTTCTTGAAACGATTTTATCTTTTTATTTTATCTCTCGCATCTCTCTAAAAATCTGAACCCTAGTTTTTTTTTTTTTTCTCCGAACATGGTGGCGGCTCCAAAGCCGCCGGATAATGGCCGGCCAAAACAACATTCATTTGCGCAAATCCTCAATGTCTCTAAGCCAAATCCAAGGAGCATCATTCAGCCGATTGAGATATCAATTCCTGAATCATTTGTCAAATCTAATCCGTCAATGGTGAAGGGAGAACCAGTCTTTTTGCTATCGAAAGAAGAAGACGAAAAGCTTGCAGCACCGTTTAAATTCAGTCTAGTTGGAAAATTTTCAAGGGGAAGACCGAAGACGGAGTATTTGTGGAATAGGTTCAATGCGATAGGTTTCAAAGGCAGATTCTCATTGGGAATGATAGATCATAGGCACATTCTCATCTATTTTGATGTAGAAGAGGATTTCCAGAGATGTTGGTTGAAGGGACTCTAGTCATTTGATCATCACATCATGAGGGTACTGAAATGGACCCGAGATTTAACACTGAGCAGGAATCATCAATTACCCCGGTGTGGGTGTCATTTGAAGGTTTACCGGTACACCGATTCAACGAAGAATATCTTCGAAAGGTTTCAAGTATCATTGGTCAGCCGCTCAAGATTGACGTACCTACGTTAAATATGTCTCGTCCTTCAATTGCTAGGGTTTGTGTGGAGGTGGATCTCCTTCATGAATTGCCAAAGCGGATTTCTTCTAGGTACTGAGGAGTATTCGTATTATCAATATGTAACGTATGAAAATCTCCTGGAATATTGCATGGAATGTTGCAAAATTGGGCACTCTTCTCAGAACTGTAGACATGGGAAACCTAAGGATGAGTCGGCGAAAGAAAAGGAACGGAAGGTGATGATGCCTTTGAAACCTATGACTAGGGTTATCCTAGTGTCTCAACCTGAGACTAAGGCAAACTCAGTGTCTCAACCGACTATGGGGAAAGCTAAGTTTCAGCCTGTGACTAAACAATCTAAGCAAGCAGAAGGAAACAAGGAGGTGACTGAAACATCAAACCCGAATCACACAAAGGAATCAGTTATACAACAGGAAATAAAGCAGAATAAGGAAGAGTCTTCATCAGGGCTCTCTGAATTGGAAAAAACGAATATCCCTACAGATATCAGGGATTCAAGTCCAATTGAATCAGGAGATAAACGACAGCTTACTAAGGAAAAGCTAAGTGCAATTCTGGAAAAAAGTTTGGAGGAAGAAAATCTACAAGATACATGGGAAGAAGTTGATGTGGTTTCTACTCATGGGAATGAGAACCGGCAACTTACTGTATACAAAAAGCCTCCATTTTCAGTTTATCCTCTTAACTTGTCGTCTCGTTTTGATTTATTAACAGATATGCCAGAAGACCAGCAAGAAGATATCACTGTTGATCAAGAGAAAGTGCGAATTCATTTAGATGGTGAAATATCTAGTGAATCTAAAACTGAAATGTATGATTCTGATGAAAGAGTTAATATTTCAAGCCATCTTGTTATAACAAGAGATGATCAAGAGGTTGGTAAACAAGATTCTAACATGGAGGTAGCGCGCCTTGTGGTTTCGGATGGAGAAGAACAAAAGAAAAAACGTGGAAGGCCGCGAGGGTCGACAAAAATGGTTCGCACTTATGGAAAAGAAACTCGTCGATCGACCAGATTGCAAGGTGACACTCCAACCAAAGTATCTCAATGAGCAACATCCTAAATTGGAATGTTAGGGGTATTGGGAATAAGGCGTCAATCAGAATATTAAAATCTCTGATTAAAACGCATGCTGTTTCTTTAGTTATGTTGCAAGAACCAATGCAACCGGATTTGAAACTAGATGAGTTAGAAAAAAAATGCATTTTCACTCAGCTGTATCATCGGTTACAGGGAAGATATGGGTCCTTGCATCCAAAGATTGGGTAATATCAGTAAAAGGGGGCACAGATCAAGTTCTACACTTGCAGGTTGAGCAATTGAAGTCTTCGCATTCTTTTTTATTATCAACAGTGTACGCCAAATTGACCAAGCAGGAAAGAAGAGAATTATGGGCTGAGTTAATTAATTTTAGATAGAATAATATTGTAGAGCCTTGGGCTATTGGGGGAGACTATAATATAATCCGGAATCTAGATGAATACGAAGGGTCTTCACAACAAGATTTGGGGGTGATAGAAGAGTTGAATGATTTCATTATCAATTGTAATCTGCTGGAACTCCCTTCACTTGGAAACCTATATACGTGGAAGGGCATGCGACAGACGGGACGAGTTCTGAAGCTATTGGACAGGCTACTTTTTTCTCAAGAGTGGTTGGCATCATTTCCGGTTGCATCGGTACATCATTTAAATAGATCCACATCTGATCATGCTCCATTGTTGCTACAATACAGGGAGGATATGGATGCAAGACCAAGGATTTTTCGTTTTCAAAAAATGTGGTTTAGAAGGAATAATTTTATTGAGGTTGTTAAGGAAAATTGGGAAAAACCGGTTAAACAACATGGTATGTTGGGTTTTTCTTTGAAGTTGAGGCGGTTGAAAGCATATCTTAAGGAATGGAAAAAAGCTGAATTCAGCAATGTTTATCAGGACTTAAAAGAAGCGGAGGAGAAGATCCGTATCATTGAGGAGCAATATGATCAATCCAATGCTGAAACTAATCGCACTGATTTGCATCGGGCGCAAGCGCATCTCTTGAATAAGCTGAAAGAGCAAGAAGATTTTCAATCTCAAAAAGCTCGAATAAAGTGGCTAGTAGAAGGTGATTTGAACACCTCCTTTTTCCATGCCTCATTGAAAGAGAAACAGGCGCGCCTTGGAATACATAAAATTCGGAAGTCTGATGGAACATGGGCAACGGAACGACATTGAACAAGAAGCAATTTCATTCTTTCAAAATCTGCTTACAAAGGTAGAGTTACCGTATCATGAGGAGGCCTGTCATAGAATTATTCAAAATATTCCGGAGTTAGTCACGCATGAGGAGAATAAAGATTTGTTGCGAATGGTTACTATAGAGGAAGTTAAGAATGCGGTATTCAGCCTCGATCCTTCCAGCTCTCCAGGTGTAGATGGATTTGGAGGAGAGTTCTATCAAAGGTGTTGGGATATTATTTGCCATGATCTTAAAGCAGCTTGTGAAGACTTTCTTGCAGGGTCTCCTATGCCACGTGCCATTGGAAGCACTATCATAACCTTGATTCCGAAGAAAGCTACAGCTTCCTCCTTTGCGGATTTTAGACCGATAAGCATGTGTAATTTTCTTAACAAAGTGTTTACAAAGTTGCTTACGCAACGGTTGAGAGCTCTTCTTCCTGGGCTCATATCGGAGGAACAATCAGCGTTTGTTGAGGGTCGTGACATTGTTGATAATATTCTAACTACTCAAGACATGTTGCAATTTCTGGATCATCCTTCTCGAGGTAGTAATCTTCTAATTAAAGTCGACATGTTGAAACCTTTCGATAGAGTCTCATGGAGCTTTATACGATGAATCTTAAGTAAATTTGGTTTTCATGAAAGATTTATTTCCCTAGTGATGTCAAATCTTGAAAGGAGTTGGTTTTCTATACTTCTTAATCGGAGTCCTATTGGTTTCTTCCCCTTATTTGTTCATCCTAGTATTGGAGGCATTATCAAAAAATCTCAAAACCTTAATGGAGGAGGGGAAAATTGCACATTATGAAACACTTGCGGGTTCCCAGATTGTATCTCATCTATGCTTTGCCGATGATATAGTGATCTTCACAAAGGGGCTGAAAAATTCAATGGAAAATTTAAATGAATTTCTCAGGAATTATGAGGCAGCAACAGGACAAAAAATGAACAAGCAAAAAAGTATGTTTGTTGTCTCGGAATCCATCAGCAAAAGGCAACTGGAAATTATCTCATCCACGCTGCAAATGCCGCAAGGGCAGCTCTCCTTGTACTTTATTCAAAGGAAGAAAGAAGGCAGAATATTTCCAACATTTACTTGATGCAATGGATGCTAAATTGGGAAATTGGAAGAATCGGTTTTTGTCAACAGGAGGAAGGTTGGTACTTATTAAGCATGTACTCCTTGCATTACCAGTGCATACAATTGCTGCTTTGGTTCCACCGAAATCCATAATTCTGGAATTGGAAAAGAAATGTCAAAAGTTTCTTTGGGGAGAGAATGATTTTGGTTCCGGAAAACATTGAAGGAGATGGAGGAAATTAGTCTTTCCGGTTGATGACAATGGTTTAGGGTTCCGGAATTTAGAGGAGTTTATTAAGGACTTTTCTATGAAATTATGGTGGAAAATTCAGACTCAGAAAGGAATATGGGCTGCCTTCATTTCATCTTTATCAACAACTGCGAAGGGGAAGACGAGCTGGAAGCGGGTTGAAGAAGTTGATCATATGGCCAGACCTCTTTGCAGGACAATGATTGAGAATGGATCCTCATCTTTCTGGTTTTCGACATGGCTGGGAATAACCCCTATATGGAGTTTACACAGCCCCCCGCCAATGGTTCATTTGACTATACATGAATTTTTTGCTTCTAGCTTGTTTTATTTTCTTGTATTTGATGATGTCTTAAGTCAAGATGTCAAGGATCAACTTGCAAGAGTGGAGATACATTTTAGTGATAAAGATGATCAACTAGAATGGATGCCAGAATCCTCAGGGAGTTTCTCTATCTCTTCGGCTTATTTTGAAATTAGAGAAAAAATGGAAAAAAAAATCAATGATTTCTAAGTTTTGGCATAAATGCATTCCTTTTAAAATGTCTTTTTTTGCATGGAAACTTTACAATGGAATGCTTCCATTCCCTGAAGTTTTACAAAAACTTGGTTTTTATTCACAGCCTCCTAGGTGTTTCTTTTGTAAGAAAGAGGAGGAGAGCATAGATCATGTTTTCTATCAATGTAGTAAAGTTCAAAGGATTTGGAATTATTACTCTTCTAATTTAGGAATTGTTGCTTCGTCTTTTGCAGGATGGAAAGATTTGGTGCGAGTTTGGCAAACAATTGGAAATAATTCCTCAGCAAAAAGAACAATAATCATGGTTCTTCTGGTGTGATTTGGTGCGAGTTTGGCAAACGATTGGAAATAATTCCTCAGCAAAAAGAACAATAATCATGGTTCTTCCGGTGTTTGTTTTGTGGGAGATATGGAAAAGTCGCAACAAAATTCTCCATGATGGTATGGCTTTTTCATTTGAGCTCATTTTAAAAACTATTAACTCCCATATTTTCAGCATGATAAATGTCCACAAGCTCAAAGCTCGTGATTCAAGAGAACGTAAAGACATAGAAGAAATCTTTCATGCCCAAGTGGAGATTCCTCGAGTAAAAACAATGCTATCTTTGAGATGGCAGCCACCAGATCCGGGAGAAACAGTTCTTAACACGGATGGCTCCAGCACTAGGACAACCAGGCTCAGCGGGATTGGGATATGTACTCAAGGGTGAAAAGGAAAGATTTATTTGGGCGGAGAGCAAGTATATAGGAATTGCAACAAGTATGGAGGCTGAGATTCAAGGAATTCTCAATGGACTTCACCATTGCCAGGAAGTAGGTATCACTCGTGTGGTTGTTCAAACGGATAATATATCTATTGTCACCGTTATCCAAGAGAATAGTGCCTTTCCATGGAAACATGGATTGCAGCTAAAGAGCATTAAAGAAATGTTGCTAACCTTAAATTCAAGGATTATCCATGTGTATAGAGAAGTGAATAGCATGGCGGATGAGCTAGCGAAGAAGGCATCTAAAGGAACGTCAATACAATATGCAAATACAAATCAACTCACCACCTCATTGTATGGGAAATGGTATTTGGATAAATGCTATTTTCCATATTTGAGGATTAGGTAGGAAATAGATTTAGGAAGCCTAGATGGAGTAGTCGTAGGATTAATGTAAAATCTTTGTAAGGCTACTCCTAGGATCTTTAGATAGGAATGTGAACTCTTAGGGGATAGTAGTCTATCTTTGTAAAACAGTTCCTAATTTAATTGTACAAGATTCGACATGGGTTTTACTAGAAAACTTTGTAACACGAATCTTTCTCTATTTGGGTAAGTCTTAAACACTGCCTGTGTAATTTTTTCTTTTAATTAATAAAATCGGGGGAATGCCAGCAAGGTACCGCCCTGGATTCTCTTAAAAAAAAAATTTCTTGAAACGAAGCTGACATCTATTGGTGCTTTAAAAAGATCATCGGGTCGATTTGATGTGCAAATCCATATAAGCTCTCAAGTCATTTGAAGCAAAGGGCAATTCCGAGGATTGAAGTTTCAAGAGATACATCTCCTCGAAGGGGCAAGCATCCCTCGAGCAATACACTACTATTCGAAGTGTTCAAGAAGACGTATCTCGATTTTCATAATATCTTCTCTGAATCGATGTAACATCTTCTCGAGTAATTAATTTATTACGAGATCGATGTACTTCTAATACTTTTTCATACTTTAATATCTCATATCATTATCATATTATTATCATATCACGATATCTTTTTGAGCACGATCAAAGGAGTTCTTCAAGTTACCAACCCTCTCGCGGTAAAACCCTATCACCCTTCAACGAGGAAAACGTACTCGGGGGCACAAACAGGGACATACCCTTGGGGCAAGGAATTCGAGGGATCATCCTAATATCCTCTGCTTGAATTAATAATCTTTACGAGCATCTTATTACTATATGTTATTCCTTTATCATTGTTGCAATATCTTTGTCGAGTTTAATGGTAGGATCCACAAGTTTGAACTACTCAAGCTCAATCTTCTAGAAGTCCTTATGCACCTTGTTCCTCGAGAAGACCACCACCTATCGACCATTGTCCTTCTGAGGACCTTCTGCTGTCGATCATTGTCTTCCCGAGAACCCTTCTCTAGCGACTACTCATCCATTTGAGGACCATCCTCTCATGGACCATTGTCTCTTATCGAGACCGTCTTTTCATAGACCTTTGTCCTCCTGAAGATCGTCATCCATTCGAGGACCGTCCTCTCACGGACCATTGTCTCTCATCGAGACCGTCTTTCATAGACCTTTGTTCTCCTGAAGATCGTCCTTTGGAAAGACCTTCCTTTGTCAACCATTGTCCTTCCGAGGACCACCCCTTGTCGACCTTTGTCTTTCCAAGGACCCCGTCATCTTCGACCCTTGTCCCCTCGAGGACCTTCTTCTGTCGACCATCACCCTTTTGTTTATCTTGCAGGAACATCATGTTCGAGAACTGGGGCAAGATTACAGAAGTCGATAAGCCATCAACACTCCAGCCTCGTACTTTTAGCAACTCATATTCTTCTCATCAAGTATCGAAAATATGGCTTGCTAGGGGCACTTGACGAGTCATAAAATAAACCCTAACCCTATAGGTTTGGGCCGGCTACCTTGGAGGCTAAGTCACCACCTAAACCTATTACGACTAGGTTTCAGGAAACAGGTAACACCACCTCTATATAAAGAGGTGGTGCCTCTCCCATAATTCATATCTTCGACCTATTTTCTACACCTCCTACACACGATACACACAACTCTCCCTATTCTTTATTTCCTTATTGACTTAAGCATCGGAGAGTCTACCCTCGGGAGACACCCGAGGCTCTGTCTTGCAGGTTTTAGGCCGTTCGCCGCTGCCTAGGTCATCATCGTCGCCTGTCCTAAGCACCGTGTAAATCCATGCTTCGTCAGTATCCACCAAATAATAATTAAAAATTCTCCATGTAAAATTCTCCACAACCCCTTCCATCCTTTCATCTCCACCGTGTCTCCTCCTCTGCCCAGAAACCTTATCCCCATTTTTTTTTCCCAGAATTGTGTCTTCTCTTTACTATCAAAATACATGGAAATGATAGACCTTAATACTCCAGGTAAACGTATCATTTCGTTGGTTTCCTAATGAATGAAGAATTGTGAGCTGTGACTAAACAAGTAATACGATTAGTGAAGCATCTTCAATTCGTTGGTTTCCTACTTTTGTTTAAAAAAAGAAAATACCCTTTACGGGATTGTAAAGTTTTTATCATTGTTGATTGATTACTTTCTGTTGACTGAGTACTTTTTTTCCTTATAATTTTGTTGATCGATTACTTTCGTGTTTTGCCCAGTTTAAGGAAAAAAATTTCCGATTCCAAGTTTGATTGTAAATGTGTCTACTGTTCTTCATCACAACTTTTAATACGTGACCATGTTATTCATTTATGCAGGGATCGGTGAGGACTTGCAACAAGTAAGTAAACCTATCCGCAGTAGACTATTCCGAATCGGAGGCCACAAATGGGGTTGATCCTTTGCATCAGAATTTTTTTTTTTGTTTTTTTTTTTTGAGAAGTTTTTCTTAAAGAGATTCGTTGGATGTAGGGTGTATTAATTACGTAGTCAAACTTGTTAACCTAGGTTACTAAGGATTAAAATGAAACTAACCAATGTTAACTAATTTATTAATATATAAGAAAAGAAGCATTAATTAAAATGACACTTGTCTTTCATTGGTGAATTGTTATAGGGTGTGGAATAGGAAAGTGGGTTAGGAGATCCTTAGCCGTGGGAACCATACTTCATTAATAAAACTGTCTTTTTTTAACACTGATCTGTAGAGTTTATTAGTGTTAACTTCATGGAGAAGAGTTGATACCGCACTAAATTAAAAAGAGGGAGGATTTGGATTCTCACCGTTAAACCCCTCCTAGTTATTACACTAATTTATTAATAGGACATGTTTCATATGCAATCATAGTAATGTATGGGTACTGCTTTCTCTTTCCAAAATAACTGAATTTTCATATTTTGCACAATTTAAATTTAAATATTAACATTGAGACTTAACAATTACTTTAGAACAGAAATAGTATGATAGTGCCCGAAGAGGTTGTTGTTGTTTATGATTGATATACGTAATGAATACTTGAAAACTATGAAAATCCGGAAAAGAGATTCTCTGTCCAAGATGGTGTTTTAAGGTCAAAGAATTTTAGGTCCAAACGGAAAAGTTAGTGTAGAATTATGGGGGTTTACCAAAATAAATAAGCGTATCGCTAATTAAAAATGTGAACTAACAAAGAATCAGGCGCAATTTTCCTAAACTACAAATCAGTGATAGTTGGTGGAGTTTGGTAAAATTCAATTGTTGGCATTGCAGGCAAAAAGGCTTTGACAAATGTTAACAGTAAAAATAGCTGTTACAGGTGCGTTGTTACTCCCATCTTTTAGGCGTGAAGAAAAACGTAAATAAGATTTTACGATGCAATCCGTTCTCATTTATGTTGTAATCCCTTTGTCTCAAACGTAAATAAGATTTGGGTTTTCACCAATGATGAAAGCTTTATGACGTATTTGAGCTCTTCACAATCCTAATTGTTGTGAACAAAAAATAAAAAGGCTCCATTTTGCAATTCCCTACCCTATTCCTTGTTGCTTGTTACCAAGGATGATGATCTCCTCTGAAACTGTACCAGTTCCAATGATACATAGTTCAAATTTTTGTGAAAAGGGCATTTAGGTTTTAGGTAGCTATATACTATGAAGTACCCTTACTTTGTCCATCAAATCCGATGTTATTTGGACAGGGAACAACGACAGTGAGTGCAATAAATCCTGGAAAGGGAAATTAATGAGGTGCTGATGTTCGACATGGTCATTAGTCAAATCTGGATAAGGAACAACAATAAGAACAAAAACGATATTTTTAACTTCTCGTTTATGGTTTTCAGAGATATAAACAATGTATGCAAACTCTTCTTCTGAAATACTCGTCAATTAAACTTTGCATTGTGGTTGAAAGCTAATCTGTCATAACTTTTAGTAGCATTACTGTCATTACATAGGGAAATCAAAGCACCTTATTCTTCTAAACTTATGTGGTTTTAGAACTGCTCTGAACTGTTCTCTTCCCGGTAGCTAATGTTGTTTTCTGAACTAGTTACACGAGATAAGTTCTGACTATTGCCTTGAAAGTTTAAACCTTGGCTTCTACCTCCATAAATTTAGTGGAGTTCCATTCATTTAGTGGAGATCATTGTCAATATGTTCAAATCTCGCTAGAACAGTCAATTCTTTAAAAATGGGTAAAAAGATAAAGTAAAAGACATATTGATATTTTTCACTAGATAGTTAATGTCTCAACTGGACATTGGGAAGTATAGTTGACATTATAGGATCGGCAAAGCATCTAGAACAATATTAGAAAATATGATAGGATAGTCAAACTTTCCTTATAGCTGTTTGATGATATTTCATCTTCAATATTAGAAAAAGGAGAGGGAGAGACAGAGAAAAAGGCATAAACGTTGTAGGCAAATATCCATCCGCCAAACTACTCATCGATTAGTCTTTGCAAAATGGTTTTACGCCAATCTGACGCGGCTTTTTAGCAGCATCACTGCCATACATATCAATCATCTTCTTAGCAACTAATTCCTAATTCCTAATTTCTTACTCTAACTGATTTCAGATTTCCTACAATGAAATGGTTAATAATGATTAATTTGGACTATTCTATAGGTTACGTCTCTCTCTCTCTTTCTGTCTCTTCTTTCGCCCTTGTTTCCATTAATCCTACCGAATCCTCAACCTTGTGGTTAAAGTCCCAAACACTTACCATCCTCCTCGTATCCAACCCTGCGAAATTTCATGCAAGTCTTCCATTCCTGAACTCATAATCCACAGATGATAGTTTTTGTTACCAAATCCAGTTAGTGCTTTGGATAAAAAAGAAAATAAACATGATTTCACATGATGGCAGAACTCTGATGAACTGTTCACAAGAACCACACATAGGTCAAGATGGGTTGTAACAGAAAGAATATTGACTGAAGCCTCGAAAAAAGAAATATAATTTTGCTCGATTTCTACTCTAGGCATAAGTGAGCTGGAGTTACTCATACAAGGATGTATCTAGCAAGGATATTAAAACACGCAAGAATGTACTCCCTTGCTTCCAATGGGAACACAGGATATCTGCTCAAAACATTAGTAAACAAAAAATTGTCTTTCATAATTTGGTCAATACTGTTACCATTTCCCGACACATGTTCCATACCACATTGTAGTTTCTATCTTTTTAACACACAAAACAAAAACAAAAAAAAAGAGAGATACTTGGTTAAAAGTTAGGCATACTTCCATTTCCGAATTTTTAACAGAGAAAGAAAAAACAGAAAGCATAATAATACAGGTTCCAAAAGATAAATTTCCAGATTAATAAAGCAAGGAAAGAACAGTTAGAGCCATTACAAGAACAATTAATTATCAGTGAGAACGAACAACAATAAATAACACGGAACAAAAAAAGAAAGATACCAATCCAGTAATAAACAAAAACCAAGAAAGAGATTTATTCATGAACGGTTTGAAAACAAATGAATTTTGTTAGGTGAAAATTTGGGCGTTCCACAGCCTTAAGCTAGGAATAAGACAACAAACCACCGGGCAGATTATCACAATTCATTTTGAAGTGGCAGCACCAGTGAAACATACTGAATAATCAATGAAATTAATAATGAAGCAAGAATAACAAAATATGAAACACGAAACTGAAGAGGACTTTACCGGAAAAACACCATTATTGTTCGATCTTTGATATTTCAGCTTTACTGAGATAAGTGTCGCACATGTCAGGGAAACTATCTTTGTAAGGAAGAATATAAAACTTCAAAAACTCCGGTTCAGTCATGGACAAAACAGAATACAGAACTGCTTTCCTCTGGTTCAAATTATTCTCATTAAGAAATTTCAAAAGTTCAGTCCGTGGCTTCACTCTCTTCTCAAAACTATATGTAAGAAAAGCCGGCTTGGAAGCCAAGACGTCCGGACTATATCCAAGTTCATTCATGAAAAAATCAACAACTTTTCGTATTCCAGAAGTAGACCTGGTAAAAATACGAGGTTGTGTTCTTAGCATTTTCAGTGTCACCGATTCCGGCCAGCCGAAACTTCAAAACACTCCGATTTTCTCATCGACCATTGACCTATCAATTGAAGATAGGACCTCAACACCACTGGCGGAGCCAGGAAATCCAGATAGGGGTGCGAAATTCGAAAAAACTTACTAATGAGCTAGGAAATTAATGTAAGGGTACAAAAATTATAAAATATATAAGTTTATATTAAAAATTTAAGACATCACTATTAATTACAAAAAATTGAGCAGATACGACCGCACCCTTCCGTCCCACAGCTCCGCCACTGAGTCAACGCCATGTCGGAACATACGCCATGTCGGAACATAGCTGAATCACGGGGAATGCCCACACATTTTCTACCCTATCTAAAATATCCTTCATGAGCTCAGGCTTTATGGTGAAAAACCTCCGCGGTTCTAGCGATCCATTTCAAAATATTATCATGGGTCATGTCATAGTTTCTCAACAGCTTAACGTTGCTGTCCACCGTTTCAGTGTCCAAATAACCAATCAACCAAGGATATTCTTTAACACTGCAACCACATTATCATCAGTACCCAACAACTGTCTTAAGTACAGAACTCGGGGTTTGATAATCGTATCCAAACGACGACCAGAGCAATTTTCGATAAGTTTGCCTAGGACCGACCCGGACAGTCCAAGTTCTCTAATGAAATTCAATTTGGGGACTAGGGTTTTATCCACGTTGCGGCACAATAAACCAGGGTCTACAGAAACCAAAAATCCGATATGGGTTTTAGTTATTTTGAAAATAACAGACAACTGGATCCGCTATTTCGGGAGAAGGGCGGAAGCGAGGTACCTTACTCGAAGTGGCTATGGCTGCATCTCTGGAGAATCCGAGCGAGTCAATTAGGTAATTCACCATATCAGCATTCTGGGTTGACGCCTTATTGGTGGCGGTGGAGAAATTGAGGATTGATTTGAGGGAGAAGGAGCCGCAGCCGCCATTGATGGCTCGAATTTGAAGCCAACATTTCCGATAAAGCATTGCTGTAGTGAGAGTAGTTTTTGAGACGACGCGACGAAAGTGAAATGTTGCGCATCGTTTTATACTCGTCAACTCTGTTATATTTGCTAATTAGCTCCTCAACTTTCCAAATAAAACAACTTGTATGTATATGTTATCACATTTCGTTGTTGTGCACTTGTGCTTAAATTACAAATACCTATATTCGGAGAAAACGGTCAATTTGACCCAAAACTTCCACCATTTTTTTTTTTAGGAAAAAACACTTTAGCACTGAGTGATAACCAATTTGGAGAAGACGACCAATAGGTATCCCTCACAGTACAAGTCTTCGCATAATGAACGATATCATGAGCAATTACATTTTCGGAACGACTTATACATAATATATTAACACCCGGAAGAGCTTGCATGAGGCGGTTGATATCATCTATAATTGGTAGAGCTGAAGCGTGTCCATCCAGTTCCCCCCCTAGCTACTAAAATGGCGTTGATCGAATCTCCCACAATTTGAAAACTTGAGAGATTCAGGTTTGGCGCCAGGCTGAGGGCTTCGTGCAAAGCCATGAGTTTTGCCATTTCCGGATTCCAGACATTGAGCTTATGTGAGGCAAAAGCGTGAAAAAACTGACCAGATGCCGAGGCTACGTAAACTCCAAGTCCCGCATGATTATTCCAATTTGAAAAGCTAGCATCAAAGGAGACTGTGATGACATTTGGTGAAGGTCGGAAGACCGAGTCTATCTCAAATTTTGACATCTCCACATTCTGAGTTTGTGACGTTTTCCATGCCTTCAAAACTGACAGAGACGATATTACCACATTCCAGGAGGTGGTAATCTACTGTGAAAAAATTCTGTCGTTCCTAGCCTGCCAAAAAATATTGCAAATGATCCGGAATAACTGAGCTTTATCACTATCAAGCGCCAGAAACAGCCCGGCAAACCAATTTTGGAAATTGTAGTCTTGGAAACTCAGGATCAGTTCCTTGAATCCAACGGAAGACCAAATTTGCTGCGTAAATGACCAGAGAAAAAACAAATGGATTGTGCTGTGATCAGTCGCGTTGCAAAAACAGCAATCCGAATCAAAGTGAAGATGCCGCCGAGCTAAGTTCTCAGATGTTGGCAGTGAATGCGTCAAACAGCGCCACAAGAAGATGAGAATGCGTGCTCGGCAGGGACAACTTCCACAGCTTTTTTCCATAGTCGAGGAGACCGGGAAGAATTTCCCGCTGCTGGTTGGTACAAATTGAGCGCATGATAGTAGGCAGACATTACGGAATGTTTTCCGGATTTATTTGGCATCCATATGTAAACATCATCCAAGTGAAAGTTCCCCAATTAGATGGACAAAATCTGATTAGCTTCACTTGGAGAGAAAACTTGACGGATGAACTCATGTTTCCACCAACCTGTGTCTGCATCAATAAGGCAGGAAACCAAACTGTCAACAGGGAGTTGAATCGGCGGTGTGGTAATCCAAAACAGTGACTCCGGCAACCACTTATCCCCCCAAATCCTAGTCGATCTGCCATTCAAAATCCTTTTTTTGATCCCAGCTTCAATTAAGGTTTTTCCTTCCATGGTGCTTTTCCAAAGCCATGAAGATTGAGGGGTTGAAGTGGCATGTAGAAAGGAAGAGTTTGGATGATATGTAGCCCCCGCAAAACTCTAGCAAGCAGCGAAGATGGATTCGTGAGGAGTCTCCAGGTCTGTTTGCTAAGCATAGCTTGAATGTAGCAACGCAAGTCACAAAATCCCAAACTTCCATCCCCTTTGCTTCTTGTCATCGAACTCCATGAGCTCCATCTAACTCTCCTAGAATTTCCGTTGTCTCCCCACCCGAATGAACTCATCATTTGCTGAATCTCCTGAAGCACACAATCTGGAATTTTAAAACAACTCATAGTATATGCCTGAATGGCTTTGATGACTCACTTCAACAAGACCTCTTTGCCTCCTCTAGATAAGTTGCATTCCTTCCAGCCTGATAGTTTTTCAAAATCTTGTCTTTGAGCCCGGAGAAGATGGCACTTTTGTTTCGACCAATCACCGAAGGAAGCCCCATGTATTTGCCATGATCCGAGACACTTGGAATGCCTAAGATAGCACTGATTGATGTTCTCACATCAGGCAAGGTATTCGGAGAAAACATGATGCCTGATTTATCTAGATTGATCCGCTGACCCGAAACCTTCTCGTAGAGATTGATAGCAAACCTATGTGAGACTTCCTCATTCGTTGCCTGGCCAAAGAGAAGAGTGTCGTCTGCAAAAAATAGATGAGAAATGGTAGGAGCTGATCTTGCCACCGTAATTCATTGAATACGACCACATGACTATTGAAGAATGCAAGAGAATACTTCAGAGCATAAAATAAAGAGGTAGGGGGATAAAGGGTCCCCTTGGCGGATGCCTCTTTGTAGCATAAGCATGAAAAAATCTTGTATTCTTATCGCTTTCCTTATACCAATGTTGCTTGCTCCTTTGCTTCCATTATAGATCCTGTTGGTCTAGTAATGCTTCCAGCTGCGAGTATAGGCTGGTAAGTTCCACCCTTATATCATCGTAATCACCCCAGCCTCTTCAGCTTTTCAATTTGCTCCGGAATACTTTTGGAAACGCCTTTCCCCCATTGTAGAGCCCTACTGCACAAGAATCCAATTTCGAGACAAGGCTAACAGAAGGTTAGGACCAATACTCCTCCATGATTTTTTCACATTCTGAAGTTTTAATCCATAATGCCTCAAATCAAAACGGCTTCTTCGGGGAACCAGAACGGATATGATTATTAGGAGCAAACTGAATGTGGAGCAGGTCGTCATCAGAGGTGAACGCATGACAATGTGCAACCCTAGACCACCTGAAAACATTTTTCCACAACACGTTGCATGTGGAGAGATCCATCCTTGCCCTTTGTGTTCCCGGAGCAGCAAGTAACCTGGACCAAGTAAATTTATGGCCTATGTATCCCATATCCTGTAAGTTACATGACTCAAGGAAGCTTCTAAAGGAGTTAATCTGCCAGTCTGGCCTTTTTCCCGCGCCCTGAAATTCGGATTGAAACAAAACTTCATTGAAATCTCCACAGCAAATCCACGGAACTTCAGGCAGCTCATGGATCGCTTGTACAGAATTCCAAGCCATTGGACGTTTGGAAACATCCGGCTCCCCATAAATTCCAGTAAAACGAAAACTGTTTCCAAAAAGTTCAATGTTGCAATCAATAAATCTTTCTGAGAAGCCACGAAGTGAAACAACCACATCCTTCTAAACCTCCAGAATTACTCCGCGACTCCACCGCAACTCCAAACATACAGAAATTTGATTTAATAGTGTCAATAAGATTTGAATCGCATGTGGTCTCAGAGAGGAAAACCAAATGGGGAGTCTATACATGAATAAAATTACGCATTTCTTAAATTGTTTGAAGGTTCCCAAGCCCCCGACAATTCCAGCATAGGATACTCATGGATCTAGGCGGGGCTGGACCTCATGCCAGCCGCCGCCTCTGATTCATTGACATTTTCAGATTCCAAAACGTCTCCAACGACCAAAGTTTTCTCAATCCAAGTATCCATAGTCGAGCTTATGCACTTACTTGAGTCACGTGCAACTTCAGTCTCTCTTCCTCTCTGAAAAGATAAATGAGGAGAATAATTTTGATATTATGTTTCTGATACAAAAGAGGCCATATATAGGCCAAATACAACAAACTGATAAAGAAGGAAAATATGATCCCTATCTCTTCATATAAGGAAAAGATAATTAGCAATGTGTCTAACATAATTTCAATACTTCCCCTCAAGTTGGAGCATGAAGGTTGATGATGCCCAACTTGGACAGAAAGGAATGAAAATGATCGCGACCCAAAGCCTTGGTGAGAAAATCCACAAGCTGAGATTGCGAAGAGATTGCCCGAGGAACCAAGAGCTTAGACTGCAAAAATTGCCGGATGAAATGACAATCAATTTCTATGTGCTTCGTACGTTCATGGAAAACTGGGTTCGAAGCAATATGGATGGCTGCACGATTGTCACAAAAAAGAGGAATGAGACCCGGTTGAGAGACACGCAACTCGAGCAGAAGACGGTTGAGCCAAACCAACTCACTAGCGGTAGAAGCCATAACTCGATATTAAGCTTCAGCAGTCGAACGAGAAACAACAGATTGCTTCTTGGACCGCCATGATATGGGAGAAGATTCCAAAAAATAATATTGCCCATGGTGGAGCGACGAGTAGTACTGCAGCCGGCCCAGTCAGCATCACAATAAGCCCGAAGAGACAAGTCTGTACTAGAGGGAAGCAAAATGCCCTGACCAGGAGCATTCTTTAAATAACGTAAAACCCGAAGAGCAGGTCATAATGTGGAACTCGTGGCTGATGCATAAACTGGCTGAGAATGTGAACAGCATAACTGATATCAGGGCGGGTTATCGTGAGATAGAGAAGACGACCCACTATGCAACGATAACGACCAGGATCTGAGAAAAGATCTCCAGAGTCAAGAGCAAGTCAATGAGTTTGCTCCATTGGAGTAGTACAAGGCCGACAACCGAGAAGTCCACACTCAGTGAGAATGTCTGGAGTGTATTTGCGCTGAGTAAGAGCAATCCCATTAGGGGATCGAGCAACTTCAATGCCAAGGAAGTATTTAAGAGGGCCAAGATCTTTGATGTGAAATTGGCGATGAAGATGTTGCTTGAGCTGAGCGATCTGAGGAGCATCATTTCCGGCAACAATGATGTCATCAACATAAATAAGGACAGCAACAAAAGAAGACCCACGATGCCATAGAAACAGTGAGGAATCTGAAGTAGATTCCTTAAATAGAGAAATAGTAAGAGAATGAGTGAATTTATGATACCAGTTACGAGAAGCCTGTCGAAGACCATATAGAGATTTGTGCAAGCGACAAACGCGCTGCTCCCCCTGTTTGGCAAAACCTTGAGGAATCTTCATCTAAACTCCCTCTTCTAGATTACCATGTAAGAAGGCATTGGTGACATCCAGTTGATGCAGTTCCCAGTGACGAACAGAGG